GTAGCCTATATAGATAGCGAACATTACTGCTCGTTCTCGCTATAAGAAGAGGCAGGAGTCGCCAACCTGGTCGTGCAAGGCCGTGTAGACACGTGGTCATATCTCGCGTGCCTCCTATAGTCGTTCAGAATGTGTCCATAGCACCGGCTCGAGCTGTCAAGAGGCACCGGGGTCCAGAGCTGCTCGCATACAGTATGTCGCATACACATTGGAAAGTGGTAGAGACCGACCACGAAGACGGCGACACAACTCGAGAACGAAGGGATCGCAGAGATGTGGAGGGTAGACCCACTTATTCGGTCTTGGCAGAAAGCTTGCGAAGCGCTTCGCTCTTCACCAATCAGCATCACTTCTCTCACCTCCCACCAACAACCGCAAGCGCTGTACCATCAACAAGACGTTTCACATTCTGCTTCCAACCACGCAAGAGAGCTATTCCCATCCTCGTCTCTGCACCTTTCATTGGTCATCGAGTACAGAGCGAGCTTTTCGAGGCCTCCCGCGACCGACTCTACTCAAGCGCCGCTACGCCCGAGGATGAAGAATGTTTGGTTCAGCGCGTATGAGGTGTGTGATTGAGTTCGCATACACACTGCATTGCTGCAGAAGAATTACTTAGGCGCTGGACAGGATAAGCGCATACCATGGGGAAGGCAGTACGGGACACCATACATACGGGAGCAAGCAGGAGAAAGATATTACCTTACTTCAGTCCAGTCTCAGCAATCTGAAAAACCTTCTCTATCGTTCAGCACTGCTGCTTCCTTTCCTCTCCATTCTTTCCCTTCTCATACAGTACAGACCTGTACATCTCTGGCAAACACAGCGACAAAATGGCCTCCCACCTCCGCCTCCCCACCCTCCTCCTCGTCACCTTATCCATAATCCTCAACATCGCCATCATCGCCACAGCAAGCCATACTCTGTCTGTCTTCAACTCAAACCGAAGCGAAAGTGTCTATTATCTCCCAATCTGGTCTTCGCATTTCGATATGCGAGGTCTCGGCGCCCTCATCGGAACCTCAGTCGTGATTCTCCTGTTGAACGCAATCCTAGCTGCGGCGTTGTTCATTTCTGCGGTACGTGCGAAATCCCCTAAAAATCTCGCAACGCAATGAGTGAGATTGAGTGTTGAGAGGCATTATGCTGATTTTGATATTCATTTTACAGCTTCCGGCGAATGCTCTCGTATTGGGCTCAAGCACCCTCAGCACAATCATCTCTCTCATCGGCCTCGCTTTCCCCGCAGCTCTGAACGCCTCTTCGCCATCTCGCGCCACACTTCAAACGTGGACGTGTAATTGGAGCCGGATTCCGAATCAAGGTGTTCCAGAATCTTTCAATACATTGTGTCATGAGACTGTACGTTCACCTTCCCTACCCCTCTTCATCCCAAACCCTCCAAACGACCTTCGGACCTCCGCTAACCCTTCACTTTTCTTTCTAGCGCTTCGCCTTCTACACCACCATCCCCACATTCCTCCTCCAACTCTTGTTACTCGGAACTGCGATTTTCGCTCTGAGCAATAAGAATGCGAATTCTGCGCAGAAGAGGAGGAGTTTGATGAGGTTGGATGAGGAGAAGAATGGCGATTTTGAGATGAGATGTCAGTCGCAGAAGGGAAGTTTTGATACGAAGAACAGTGAGAGTACGCCGAAGAAGGACAGAGTGAGGGTTGTGGAGGTTGGGAAGTAGGAAGTAGGAAGCGGGTGGGAGTGGTTGATGGGGAAATGGAGGGGAGGGAAACAGGACTCCGCGATGGAGACGGCATTGGGAGGCGTAAAGGTAGGAATGCAATGGAATGTATCTCTGACTTGTAAGGAAGCGACTTTGTGACTTTGAAAGCCTCTGTAACATTTCTCTGGTGAACTTTGCAAAAGATAAAAACGGAGTGGACCGGGTATCATCAATCATCATCCAAGTAACATCTTTCTTTCCTTTCCCTTTTCCCATTTCACGCCTGTTCCTTTCTTTCGAGTCTTAGGAGACTTTAGCAACTTTTGTTGATCTGAACGAGCGTGTTGAAGTCGACGTCACATCAATGTGCCGCCTGCGGCAACGCATGGCGCCTAAAAGCTGATAAGAAACTCTTCCGCTTTCCTACTTTATTCAGCGATTTCGAATCCTGCTTGTCGACAGGAATTGGCGGTGGCTCAGGATACTTGGGCGTTGCAGTAATTGTCGAACGTCGCTTTGCTGTGTTGGCTTCGGTGTCCTTTTTGTTGTCTACATCCGGCTTCTCTCCGGTCAATTTCTCGATCTTCTTGCGCGATTTCTCTTGTGCCGATTCGTTGGTCCAGGTTCCGCTGAGTGCCTTCAGTGCAGCTTGAGGACCTGCATTGGCAAGATCGGGACTGTCTCGAGTTCGAATTACTGGTGCTGGTGCGGCGCCCCAGTTTCGCTGGCGTGGAGATGTCGGGCGGGAAGTATTCGTTAGACTGGCTTTCGCTGAGGTATTGGTTGGATCGTGCTTCAGGAACGAGTGCGCTTTCTGGTTCTTTGTCTGATGCGTTGCCGGCATCTTCGCAGTAGGAGACGCCTGGCCTATGCCGATCGATTTGCTCTTTGGTTGATCTCTGGCTGAGAAGTTCTCTCCCGAGAACGTCCGCGGACGAGCCTTTTTTCCATTCTTAGGCGTCGAAGATCGGGAAGAACTTACAGCGCCTTGCGACACTCCGTTCATGCGCAAGCCATTCGATCCGCCTGATGACTTTCGCTCGTGGGCAGTGACCGGACGATCTTTGTCCACCTCAATGGCTGGCAGCTCGTAGACTTCTCCAGGAGAGGTGATGTTGGCGCTCATCTGCGTGGGCGTGGTATCTGACTTGTCTTCAGAAGCATTGCTTGGAACAGCACTGTCAGCCCTTGCTGGGGCCGGTCTCGTTTCAGCTGGGGTTGGAGTTGGTTCCGGCACGTTCTTGACTTCACCGTCCATCTTCGGCAAGCTCTTCTTGAAGCTCGGCATGCTTTTACGTCCCATGCTGTTCATCGCACGTCGCATGCTTCCGGCATGTTCTCCCTCATGCCGCTTCTCCTGTCGCTCAATTTCTCCAAGAATTGTGGTGCCGTTGATGGCAAAGTTCTCATCTGGGATTGGCTGGAATTTGATGATACCGCGTTCGGGAGACACGCTGAGAATATCGGCCAGGAAAGACTGGATCAGAGCGGCGTTTCTCTTGTTCATGGTCGGGCCCATCTGTGAAGGTACAGCGGTAATGGCAATGATGTAGCATGGTTCGAAAGTGCCGCCTAATGCCAGGCAGGCGCTGTGATCGACCTTCACCATGACTGATGAATCTGGTCGCGTGTAGCGCGCTGCCAAGTGGTATGAGAGATCGGTCACCAGCGTGAATTCGTCTTTGACCTGGCGTTGCACATCAGTTCACGACATCGACATCCCTTGCACCAGCTCGAGCACCTACGATCACGTTCGTGCGCAGCTCCGCAATGACGGGAGAGTCTCTCTGGACTCTTTCGCGGACGCTGCCATTTGCATTGTCCTTGTGATGGAATTGCTCGTCGTAGTATTGAGTGCGCTGGCGAGATGGAGAGGTGTAAGGAGCGGCCATGACACTTTCGCGAGTGCCCAGATGTTTATGCACAAAGTCGCCAAAGTTGGCACTGCCGGCAAGCTCAGCAGGCAGGCTGCTGCGATCTCGCGGTTTGTTGGCTGGCAGGACTGCAAACTTGTCGTCTAGTGGAGTGGCAGCATCGGTGGGTTTTGTCGAGCAAACGGAGTCAGTCATGCGATGGAGAGAGGAATCGCGTGAAGGGGACGAGGGTGCATCGGCGGACGAGCTCTCGTCGGATTGTGGCATATCGTCTCAAGTTCAAGTCGCACGCGTAGGATTGGGTGTAACACTCGCACTCGCCACAAATGATTGGCTTCCTCTCCCGCACGATCGACTCCGCAGTCTGCAGTGACTCTTCGCACTCGGATGGAGTGTCGGCTGCAGAGAGTTAGAGGCACGAGAAGCGGCAATTCAGCAAACGAGACGCCGCTGGTGACACGGCATGGAAGGAGAGGTGCGTTATCGTGATTCGCCAATCCGTGGCGCGTTGAGGGCGGCCGGAGCTGCAGACGCGGCAGCAGCGAGAAGAGCGTGCAGAGAGGGAAGCAGAGAAGAGTCGTGCGAGTGTTGCGCGGATGCAGTCGGGCGTGTACTTAGAATATTGCTGGAAGCGTGCAACAGGCCATGCTGGACACGATTCACCTCCCCAGCGCGGAGGCGAGTGTTCTCCTTCGCAAGGCGCGGCTTTCTGCACGCGCGCCGCCGTCGTCGAAACGCTGGCGCATCGTTGCCGTCGAGTCTGGCCGCATGCGTTGTCAGTGGTGTATGCACGCGCCGTTTCATCTTCCCACAGCATGCCTTGTCAGCGGCGTCGGGAGAAACGTCCCGTCAGCCAACGTCTCTTCTCGTCCGGCACACTTCCCTCCTGGTTGGCATTGAGCACCGCATACCCATCCCGGCAAACCCTTTCCCGTGCACCGTGAAGGCACTCCCCTGTATGAAGAACGCCCAACCGCCTCGCCAGACACGTGCTCTTCCACAGTGAGCAGTGAGCGAGCAGAAGGCGAGGTCAAAAATAGAAACCAATCTTAGTTTTGGCCAAACTGTGGGGACAGAGTTTGGAGATTCAGAAAGCCACTCCAGGTTCCGCTGGCCACGAAATGCCGCCCCTCGGGTCGACCATGTCGGCGGCTCTCGTACCATTCTGCGGGAATTGCTGAGACCTCAACACTCCCTGAGAGTCCGTCAGATCTTTCGTCGGCAATGCTTCAGATGATACCGCTTTGCTTTGCAAAAGGACACTGGAAAGTAGAAAAGCGAGATGCCTCCTCTTGGCATCTCCAGCAGAAATGCTAGTTAGCGCGCTGACACCATCCGGATGAGTAAGCCACATCGGTGACTTCGACGTCCCATCAAGCAAAGCATTGTAGAGAAACAGTGTATATACCACAGACCAGAATCTGGAATCCTTCACATATTGTATTCACACAAAATTCGACCTGCTCTCGCAAACATGTCTTCACCCAACAACTCCAAAACCTACTTCTACAAAATCCTCGATTCCGCTCCACCATCTCCCCTCCCGGAAACTCTTCCCGCCACTCCTCTTGATGTCAAGGATAACTTCATTCATCTAAGCGTACGCAACATACCTTTCCCCTTACATACTCCATTGTTTCCCACAACATCCTCTGATTTTCCTCGCAGACCGCCACCCAAATCCCCATCACCGCCGACTTGTTCTTCTCCTCACACACCAAACTCTGGCTTCTCAAATTGCGAATCGCAGATTTGGATGGTGAGATTAGATATGTTGAAGGCTTGCCAGAATGTCCGCATGTGCATGATAGTCAGAAGGGGCTAGGGAAGGGGAATGTGGAAGAGGTCATTTTGGTGGAGAGGAACGAGGGGGAGAAGTGGGGGGATGTGCGAAGTTTGAAGAAGTTGGAGAGTTGAGCTACGGGAACGTGGGAGTGAGGTTTTCAGCTAGATCTTGCATTGTGGAGTGGATGAGTGCCTGTTGACGTTCTGATGAGCGAGTGATGAGCGATGAGAGTTGGCTTCAACGCCAGCTTGTAAGCAAGAATTTTGTTTGCGATATATTTTCAGCATAGGCTGATACAGTCAACAAGCAGGTGCAATACATGTAGAACTGCGAGTTTGATGCGCCAAACGATGTACTCAATCCTGTCAGCGACACTTATCTACAGCGCTGTAAATCCCACCCCATCAAAAGTCATCATGTCACCGAAAATATCATCAAAATTGACATCGTTCCACATCTGAGTGGCATCAAAGTCCAACATCCCAAGTGAATCCGGACCCTCACCATTCAAGCCTCCACTTGCACTCTGAGCATGTCTTGCTGCTGCCCCGGAGCCCAGCTGCTGTTCCTCACTCTGCTCGCCAACCGCAATCGATGACCCGAGCGCTCCTGCAAAAGTCCGACTGATCTCCGAATTATGCGAACAAAGCATTTGAGCAGCCTTGAAGACTTTCACAAGAGTCTTCCGGATCCTCCGCCCAGATCTGGTGTTCCCTCCAAGACTGTCCACCACTTCGAGTGCCTTTTTCAGAGCTGTGCCCTTCGTTTCAATGGAAGATAGCAGTCTCGCCACGTGGAGCGATTCTTCGGCCGTATTTCCTTCGTGAGAAGTGTTTCGGAAGCACGTATCGATGTCCAGCATCAGACAGGCGAAAATGGTCAGCGCGGCATTGAATGTGTAATATGACGCGAACCAGAAAGCACCCAACATCGATGGTCTTGAGCGGAGGGCATACGCAATCTCGATGATTTCGAGCGCTGCTGCTTCGCAGTATTTGACCGAGTTCTGCGCCATATCGACGACCATGTCGTATTCCTGTGTCGCCCTATTCACTGCACTTCTGCTTTCGAGCAAGAGGACCAGTACCGGTCGGTGCAGCAATAATCTGACATTGAGGATTCGTCGCCGCATTATGACGCTCAATCGACTGAATTCTGGATCCATCCCCGTTGATCTGACAGTGTTTACCCATGGCCGTAGCTTCAGTCCCGGAGGGAGATTTTGCTCTAATGATGACATTCGCGTTTCCAGCGCCACTACGACAGGAAGCATGTCTGCCAGACTCAGTACCTGTCTCGAATCTAGGTTAAAGCCATACATCTGCTCTAGAATATCGTGAAGAACGCGGTAGAGTAATGTTGTGTGGATGTAGAGCGATGCAGTGCTTGCGCCTCCTGGCAAACGACCGGGACTAGCTGAATGTCTGTCAGACAGCGTTTCCAGACTGCAGTCCGTAGGAAGGTCAAGCTTGACGTATGACTCCGGGATCGCTGGTGGTCGGCCATAAGACATCGCCAGGATTCGATCAATACCAACACAACCGAACCACACTCGCTTTCGGACTTCCATATCGAGAGCTGTCAGACCTTCGGAGAAGCTTGGTGAGTGTAGACCCAGTTGCATCGCAGAACGAAAGGCGAGACAATGCAGCTGCCAAGGATCATCGACAACTTGCGAGCCCTGCCGGTAGAGGCACATCAGGAGCAGTGCTTGAATTAGCATCAGGCTTGGCGATTGTAGTTGGTCGTCGTGAACGAGCTGTCTTGCCCGTTGAAAGAAGACTTCTGCGTCATTTGCATCAGCCTCGCTCGCAGAGCCTGGATGGATGCTAATGTATGTTGCGAAGGCGAAGATGACGTTGAGCAAGCACAGAAGTGGCCGTGGAACACCGCTGAAGCCGGTAACTTTCGCTGCGTTGTACGCTTGCAGCACTTGTTGCTTGCACACAAAGGGAAACAGAAGTCCTGTATCGTTGAAGAATAGCTCGATGAGTCTCCTGACATGCTTCTCAGATGGCAGGATGCGAATGTCGGCTGGTCCAGGTGATAAGCCAGAGGTGATTCGACCTCGCAGCTGAGGTGACGCCGCGCGAGTCAAAAGAGAGTGCTCTTCGGATCCTGGCATTCCTGGCGCCGAACGCATTCTACGCAGACGGATGCTTATAGCAGCTGATAGCTCTCGGATGAATATCACGTTCGATGATGGCCCATAGAAAGTGCCTTCCGAGTTGTCAAGTTCTGCAACGGTGACCAGACCATCAACGGGCGCATCGCGTCCTTGTCCGTCTGGCGAGACATCGAGAATCGTCACAGCGGCCGAGGAGCCACGAACATGCTCACTATGGGACAAATCTCGTGCGGAGGGATTGGCGTCTGCAGCCCCATGCTGCACCAGCATCTGAAGTGTTTGCTCCACAGCCCTTAGTCGCTCGTCGTAGCCATCTTGGCTTGTACGTATTCCAGATCCGCCGGCTTTGACCGGTTGTTCGTAGATGCAATCGAATCCAAGCTCAATGCATAGCTTGCATGCCGGCTTTGCGCCATCACACTGTCGAGGTACCGTTCAACCTTTGGTCTTGTCCTGCATTGTTGCATCACTCACCCGGACTTTCCTATTTCTGCAGGACCTGCATGCCAAAGCAACTCTACGCCGCTTGAAAGCCGGTTCGCCACTGTCGGCGCCAGGGCTGCTGATTGGACGACTCATGCTCGTGAGTGGTGAAGTAGTGTTGCGTTGACCTGGGGAAAGATCGGACAGCGCTCAAGGACTGAGGTGGGGAGAGTTCGCGCATGCTTTCCGATCTAGCCGCGGCCTGGGTCTAGAGCTCCTTCTTGGCGGGCAGGAACGATGGGTTCGTTTCGAAGCCTCAGCATTGAGAAGCATCTTGCTTGTTCTTTCGGCTTCTCAAAAAATGAACATCTGCTGCACCAGCCAGGCCCTTTCCAAGTGACCAATCTCCTTCCCTTCGATCACCACTTCCCTCACCCTCTTCGCCACATCTTTCGTCATGGCGAAATACGTGAACGGTGCTCCATCCGGCAGCACGGGAACACCAAACTTGTAGCAGAGCATATCCATTCCACCCCTTACCCTCTCCAAACTGTCTTCGTCCCAGGCCTCATTCACACTTTCCAGTCGCTCCAAGACCTCAAACTCCGGGTAGTCGTATTCCGCGCGAGGATCATCGTCGTAGATCGTCATACACCTGAGTGGGTTCTCGTCTTGTTCGTCCACATCTTCCGTGTCACTAGATTGGCGACTTTCGTCCTTCGTCAAAGCTGCATCCGTGTCCCCGCTGCCACACCACCCTCCTCTCGCCCTTCGAATCAATTCCCTCTCCCCGACATTCCAGATTCTACTCGCCAGATCCAGTGTGTCGCCCTTGGCCCTGATTGCCCCTCTCTCAAAGTGACGCCGAGCAAGGTAGAACTCCGCCCAGGCCATGTACTGACGGAACATCCATTCATTGTCCAATCCAGGAGATCGATGGCCTCTGGTGCGGAACATGTCGACGCCGGGAGATGTGATACCGCGGTGGAGGAGAAAATTCGTTGCTGCAGAGGGAATGACAAGGTCGGAATTGACTACTGCGCGATCCAAATTATGAGGCGCTGTTGAAAGCTTGGATGAGTGTTGGTCGTCAAGAGCGAAGTAGCAGTGCTTGTTGATGAATTGGTTCAGACATTGGACATGTGAGGCGACTCGAGGTCGAGCGAGCGTTGTTTGATTTTCCTGTGCCATGAACATTAGCAGATGAATTGCCTACACCGTGGAATTCGGAAGTCGCTGACTTGCAGGTCAATCAGCTCGTGGAAATACCGGTTGACTCGACGACACTGTTGCATCTGCTTCAGTGGCAGTTGGGCGAGAACTTGCAGCTGCAGCTCTGGTGGCAGATCCAGTATCGGTGTCGTCTGAGGCGCATCGAATGTGAGGTCTTGCTGGCAAATCCTCGCGTCTGATGGCTTCCAAACTCGAAAGATTGCGGATTGGACGAGCTTCAACATGGCCAGAACATTTTCCATGATAAGACTGCAGATGTGTCGCGTCTCATCACCTTCTATTGCGAGAATTGGCCTGCTCACTCCAATTACGACTTGCCAGACGAGCAAACCGTACACAAACAGCAAAGAACTGCAGCCTTTTCGTTGGCTCTCAGTCTTGAACTCCATCATCTCCGCTCTGCACTCAAGTCTTGAGTCGTGTGCCAGATTCTGACAGCTCACCAGAATGTTGAGATCGTTTGTCGCCAGCAGTTCGAGAAAACATGTTCCGATCCGGTAAATTCGGGCCCGTGGACAGAAGATTACCCGGCCGTTCTCAACCTTCTGTTCCCAAGTACTGCGACAACGACTCCCCTAGCAGGTCCGCGTTAGTAATCCTCACCTTGGAGGCTTCTTTGGAAGTACAGATGAGCTCTGTCCGCTCTGTTTCCCGTTCGCGCTCTCGGATGACACCACTTGACCGGATCCGGAAGCCTTGGCACTGTACGATCTCGAGCGTTGGAGCCGAAGTCCTTCCTGGGTAGGTGACCAGATCACAATTCAATCCTGGCAATCATACACTTCTTCTCCTTTTCAACGCGTTACCCATACTTGGTCCCTGTACGCCAACTTACCAGAACACCACGTACGATTCTCACGTTGTGCTGATAAGCAGGGTTACGCCCGGTTGACTCCGTCAGCCGCAGTGGCCGAAGTAGCACGACCAGGTACAGTTTCGACTTCAAAGCAAACAACAGCTTTGTGATCTCGAACGCTAGGGCTGGGATGGACATCCGGTTGCGGAGTAATTTGACGTTTAATACCGTTATCCACTAAGAGAATTCGTATCAGCAGCTCTGCGAAACCCAATGCAACGACGAAAGACGAAGGAAGAAGGAGAAGACGCTCAATGCCCGCTCGATCGCTCAAAATGCCAATAAACCCAATGCGATCCGACTGCACTCCAAGCGCGCCTGCCCACGATATCATTAAACATTGTGCCTCGATTTACTGCTCGTTCCAAGAGAATTCGCCTGATGAATGTCGTCTCTTCACAATGGCCAGTTCCTCGCCGAAATCTCTTCGGGAGAGGCTGGCTCGCTGACCTCAGCGACGGCTTGCGTAGCCAGATTGCTGTCTATCCGATCTCGACCCGCGCTGCCATCGAGTACAAACGGGCCGGCGTCGTTACGTGGCGTCATCGGGCCTTCTGTGACGACCGAGGGCCCTGCCGACAGCGCGAACGGCGCATGAGAAGTCGGCGTGGTTGAGCGCGCTCCATTAGAATCGCTGGGAGATCGCTGACCGGATCGGGATCGCGAGATGTTGATGGGCTGTGATGAACTGGGCACTGGCAGCGCAGAGGAGCTCGACCGATCAGCTCTGGTTGCTGATTTCGCCTGGGCAGTGGGCGAGCTTATCGAAGTATCGTTGAGCATTCTCGAGAGGTCCTCATCCACATCTCCGTCCTGTGATCTGTCACCCGTATCGGGCGCTGAATCAGACGTATGCTGCTCCTCACTGTCACCAGGTTCGTCATTTCTGTTTCCGTTCGGAGTCTCTCCGCCTCCATTGGCCTGTGCATCGGCATCTGTGAAATTTTCGAACATCTCTTCTTCTGGCTGCTCGACCTCTGCCTCCAGGTCCGCCACAAAGCGGCAGTTGGGGCACAAGAAATTGGGATAGTTGGGTCCGTGGATAAGACCTCGAATGCATTTGTAGTGCCAAACATGACTGCATGGAGCCACAAAAAGCGCTTGACAGGGCGCCACTGGGTTCAAGCAGATGGAGCACTCGGAGCTGTTGACACTAGCGGCATCGGAATCGCGTACTTTGGATTTCGGGGTGTTTTTGGCGCTGTTCAGCAGTCGCTTGTGTGCAGACGTGTTGAAGTTGTTCAAGCTCTTTTGCCAGCCACGGTTGCATTCAATGCGGATCTTGACGCATCTGAAGATTACCTCTTCTCCACCTTTGAAGTCTATGCCGAGCTGCACAACATCTCCATCGTTCACGGGGTAGGGACGACTCTCGACGCCAGGGCTCGACAAACGGACGTGGTTGAGAAAAGTGCCTGAGCTCGATTTGACATCCTTGACATACCACTGCCCGTCGGTGCACCAGAATTCGCAGTGTCTTCTGCTCACCACTTTCGACTTGAAACCCACCACATCGCTCGTGTTGCTGTCACGCTCGCTGTAGCGGCCGACTTTGACCTTGCCGTCAGGCGTCTTAAGTTGGCGGGAAAGTGCGTTGAAGTGGAGCGAGGGCCGTGACGAGCGGGTTTCGACGTGTGGAATGAAGCGAATGGTGGGGAGGGACTCTTTGCTCGGGCCCGGCGTGGCTGTCGTGGAGTCGGGCATGGCAGAAGGCATTGCGGCAATCTCAGGCAGCTCAGGTCCGGAAGTTCGGCGAGCGGAAGTATTGGAAGCAGTGGGGCCAAATGGCGACGTCCTCGACCGGGTCATGCTGTCGACTGTACTCGTGATGTTTGGCTCTGGGACTGCCGAGATGGTATTGGTGGAGGTCAGCTGCGCAGAATGCGTGGTTGGAATCCAGCCGTGCTCGCCGGATTGTATGGTGGAGGCAGGAGCGGCAGAATGCTGCTGCGTACCCCGCTCCGAAGTCGACGGCGGAGGCTGCGTCGGCGTGGCACTCCTCGACGGCGAGAATGGCAGACCGAGCGGAGATGAGGTCGAGCGCGTGAGAGGTGGAGGGGGCTGCTGCTGCTGCTGCTGCTCGGAGCGGTGCAGGTGGTTGTGGGTGTAGTTGCGCAGGTACGACAGGCCGCGCAGTCGACTCGGGCGGGTGGGCGAAGAAGGCGTTGCGCTCGTGGTTGCAGTGTGCAGCGAAGGAGTCGCGGTGGTGGCCGAACCTAGCATATTCGTGCCCGGACGCGCGATTGCATGCGGCGATCAGACAGACCAGGTTGGGTGCAGATGGCGAGCAGTGTTCCCTCGCCGCCGCACCACTGCGCAGCCTCAAAACCAGCTGAATGTACCACGGGAGGCCGCTTGCGGATGCGCAGTCGCCCTTCCTCTTCGATTGCTGGAGGAGCGCTGTGTAGACGACGCTCCAGATTTGTGATGTCTGCGGCTTTGTGAGGAAATTGGCTGGCGCACAGATGCAAAAGCAAGACAGGGTGCGAGGAGGGCGGCGGAAGGTGTTGGAGATGGGCTGGGCGAAGGATGAGGTCTGGATGAGGGCGGCGTCAGCTCACGGACCCTTTTACACGCTGGGCATGTCGATCACCAATGCCCACGGGTATAGCGAACTCGTGATGAAGGCGTCGTATAGCAAGGCTGACCGGTGTTATATCGCCAGCATACACTTCACCTCCGAAACAACCTTTCCCCTCCGCTGAAGGCTCCCGCCCAATGCCACAGCCAAGTACGACAGGCTTTCCCGGTTCTTCACGTGCCAATAGTGGAGGACCGGTGCAAATCTGCGCCTGACGGAATCAGATGGCGGAATCTCGTAGGCCATCTCGATGCCACTGCACACAACTACGAGATTTACCCTAATCGTTCCAAAATAACAAAACTGCATCATCATCGTTCGCGCCCATGTCCGCTGGCATCGTGCATGGTTCATCGTTGCTCCCGCTATCGGCATCTCCTCGCGCCGATCCTGCGTGCCGAGAAACGAGTCGTCGACCCTGCAAAGTGTACTGCCATCACTTTTCATCAACCATCCATCTTTAGGCCAGGACTATGAGCAAATCGCTGTCGCTGCCGCGGCAAGCATCGAGAATTGCGAAAGATGCCTCGCGTAGATCTGCCCGGTTACGAAGCTATGCAACCGCATCGCGAACAGCTCCCTCCGCCGCGGAACCTACAGACCTCGATCAGATAACGACTCTTCCCAACGGCATCAGAGTCGCTTCCGAATCTTTGCCTGGACATTTCTCTGGTATTGGCGTCTATGTCGATGCCGGGTCGCGCTACGAGAATGATGCTCTCCGAGGTGTCTCACATATCATCGACCGGCTGGCCTTCAAGAGCACGACCAAGCGCTCATCGGATCGGATGTTGGAGAAGATTGAGGGACTGGGAGGAAACATACAGTGCGCATCATCACGAGAGAGCTTGATGTACCAGGCGGCCACCTTTAACTCTGCCGTGCCCGACACGATTGCGTTACTCGCCGAAACGATACGAGATCCGGACATCACGGAGGAAGAGGTGCAAAGACAACTGGAAACAGCGGACTATGAGATTGGAGAAATCTGGGGCAAGCCAGAATTGATACTGCCTGAATTGGTACACATGGCGGCCTACAAGGACAACACACTGGGGCAGCCTCTTCTCTGTCCAAAGGAGAGGCTAGACCAGATCAATGCCCGCACGATCGAGGCATACCGCAAAGCTTTCTTCCGGCCGGATCGGATAGTGGTCGCCTTTGCTGGCGTACCGCACGACGATGCTGTCAAGCTCGCGACACAATACTTTGGCGACATGAAAGGATCAGCAATCACAAATGCGCCTTCACTGGAAACCAAATCATCACAGGTACAGCCTCCTTACCCAACCTCACAAATTCCATCCCAGAAGGATTCGCGGCTCATGTCCAAGATTCCGTTCCTGAAGAACCTTTCCACTTCCGCTACGCAAAAGGCCACAGTCTCACCTCTCGATCCATCGCAGATTATTCCCCATCCTCTGGATGCTCCGATCGACTACACCCAGGCGTCACACTACACTGGTGGCTTCCTGACATTACCGCCTTTACCTATACCGCCGAACCCTGCGCTTCCTCGCGTATCGCATATCCATCTGGCTTTTGAGTCACTGCCGATCGCATCACCGGATATCTATGCATTGGCAACACTACAAACACTGCTTGGAGGAGGAGGCTCTTTCTCGGCTGGTGGGCCAGGAAAAGGAATGTACAGCCGGCTGTACACCAATGTGCTTAACCAGTACGGCTGGGTGGAGAACTGCGTGGCTTTCAACCATGCGTACACAGATTCTGGACTCTTTGGCATTTCTGCCAGCTGTGCGACCCAGTTCGTGCCACGAATGCTGGACACCATGGCTCGCGAGCTGAGCCTCTTGAGCGCGGAGACTGGCCTTGGACGACTATCGGAGATCGAGGTCAAGCGTGCGAAGAACCAGCTGCGATCTTCTCTGCTGATGAATTTGGAATCACGAATGGTGGAGCTTGAGGATCTGGGCAGGCAAGTGCAGGTTCATGGGAGACGTATTCCGGTGAAAGAGATGGTTGCCAGCATTGAGGCCGTAACAATGGCAGATCTCAGACGCGTGGCGAAGCAGGTCTTTGGCGGAGGCGTGTACAACGTTGGACAAGGCTCGGGAGCGCCTACCGTTGTTCTGCAGCAGGGTGAAGAGGAGGGAGTGCAGCTCAGAGAACTTCCGTGGAATGATATCCAGGAGAGGATTGCGAAGTGGGGACTTGGGAGGAGGTAGATGAGGAAGGTGAATCGGGCACTGGTGAGCAGTGCCTTGAAATTCATGGCAGATGTATGGATATTGTACAGATCGAACTTTTCAACTCATAGCGGAAGAGCAGGAGGGTGCTTGCTTTGTACAATAGATTTCTGGAGGCAGAAGCCATCCAAATGAAATGGAGTGTTTCTGAGGTGAGCTTCGGCTCTCACATGTGAAGGTAAGCGCGCTAGTGACTGACTTGCATTAGCGGCATTGGAGCCTTCTCGGTGACATCTACTTCGACGGCACATGCACCTCAAACACTAGCCCTCGTCGCCCAGTTTCGAAGGCTCGCGACATCCCACAAGCACATGAGAAGATACAAGTCAAAGAGGTGAGTTTGTGTTTCTGAAGTGGGCCCACGGGTTTGCATAGTCACTGACAGCCATCAGCTGCAAGACTCTCGAGACAGTTTTTTCTGCACAACCACGACTCTACCTCGGACACACCACTCGATTCACAGATAAACTCCAATCAAGCGACCCACACCGAGCTGCTCGCCAGCATCAACACCATGGCGAGCTTCAGCGACAAGGAGCCGCGCCCTCCATCCCTTGCATCTTCGAGCGCCCAGGCGCTGGCCGACAAGGACGTTTTCGTGCCACCAGAACAGATCATCGACCTTCCAGTGGAAATGCAGCTGCGCATCCTGTCGTATTTGCCGGCGAAAGAGATCCAGTGCTTTCGAAGTGTTTCTCGCCACTTCCGTGTTATGATTGATTTGAAGGTATGGGGGAGAGATCTCGAGGTGCAGGTGTGGAGACTGATCAAGTATAGGACAACCAAGCTCTGCTCATCGGGCCCGGAATTGCCCAATCTATGCACAGATTCGATACCTTCATCAAGAGGTACTGCGAGTTTCCGATGGAGTCTGAAGACGGAGGACCGGATGCTTACCTTGACGCGGTCTTTGACTTCATATCGCTGCGCCAGATCGACATCTGGGACTTCGCGCTTGACGAGTTCAGCGCATTCTGGTTCAGCCGATCGTTGAAGCTTGACCCAGCTGCGCTTTTCGACTTCGGAATCGAGCTGCTTACTGATCATTTCTGGGATGTGTGGCGCTCTGCGTTGGGCATTCATCCCACGGTACCGGCTGACAGCATGTTCAACGACATATACGGAGACAAGAGCAAGGCAATGTTGACGCGGATCAAGACTTTTGTACGCGGAGCTCACAATGGCGAGTTCGCTGACCCGGATGCCGGAATTCCAGCCCAACACTCCATTTTCACGTTCACTGGAATCAAACAGCGTGACGATGAAATGAAACGTTTGCAACATGTTCTCCATGTGCCGGTGCTCCCGGGCATATCTCCGTACGCATACTACAACTACGACTCGCCCGTATACGACTCGTCCAGCTGGGCTAAAGAGAGGCTGGAAGAAGCGATGGAACGGAATGAAGAGATCAGAGGCATTGAAAGGGCAGCTTTGATGGAGGAGCTTTATATCGCTTGATCGGTTTTCAACTGCGACCGTACATTATCCAGACAGTGCGTGGGCAGGATACATAGAGGCGTGGGGGCCAAGGACGCAGTGAGCATTGAAGATTCGGGACAGTGGTTTTGGAAGACTTTACACGTGTATCTGCAGTAGGGGATCGAGTTCTCAGCAGCATTTTCCACTACGGCGGCGAAGTCACGGAACAGCTCTTCAAAATAGTCAAGCAAGCTGTGTTGCGATGCACATTGCAGAGTCTTCACGCCACTGGCTTCACTTTTGCGGAACAGCAGAGCAGCATAGTATGTATAAAACTTCACAACAATGCAAAGCGCGCTAGTGACTGACCCGCATTAGCGCGCTTGCTGCCTGCTTGACGCGACCAAACCTTTCCATTCCACATACACTGAACTCGTGCTTTCGTCAACAACTACATCCAATGGCAACCAGCCTCAAAATGCCGCCACCCATCGAGAAGCCTCCACCGCGGAGATTGGACAACCTTCCCATCGAGATGCAGCTGCAGATTCTCTCTAACTTGCCGCCAAGGCAACTACTCTTGACTTGCCGGCTCATCAGTCGCCATTTTCGGGATATCATCGATTTGGAGGTAAGCTGCTCGGCCAAGGGTGGGCGCGAAGTGAACGAGGTACTGACTCCGGCCAGGAAAATCATGGCACTCTTGTTGGCGGCAGTATCGCAGCGTCTCTCGACAGGCTGAACGCTTTCGTCAAGAGATACTGCGAGGTTCCGACTAAGTCCGAGGACGGTGGCCCAGACGCGTTCGTCGACGCGATGTTCGACTTCATCCGGGTGCGCAGGTTGAGCAAGAGCAACAACTTCGATGGCGCTTTTGATGGCTTTCTAGAACTTTGGCTCCAGAGATCAGGCGCTCCTTTCGGTAGACCTTCGATCTCTGACCTCGCGGACGAACTCTTCGGAATGTGCGAGTTCCCAAAGCCCTTCTTGCAGACTTCACACGGCACCTGGTTCTTCGAGGCTTATGGCAATAAGGTTGAGATCATGTGTGATAGGATTCAGGATTTCTTGCAGAGTTACGATTGCCAATCCCATCCGGTTGAGCCGAAGTGGCCTATCATGGCGAGAAGATACTTCCCAAAGGCTGGGGTTGGTCCTGACAGTATACGGCGCTCTCACGATATGGAGGCCTTGCATCGTACTTTCGGAGTGCCAGTATTGCCAGTCCTGTCACCTTACTACTACTGCATCTCTTCTTCAATGGCACGCACGATGTGTACGCTGGCCATGGATGAAGGATCGGCCTTTCCTGAGCTCTCGAAGGCTATCTTGCTGGAGGAAATTTCAATCTATTGAATTGTGTCCTCAGCAAGGCCTGTATCGAGCGCTTGTGCTACCGCGAGCCGCGGCACTTACACGGCGGATATCGCCTCTTCGCGGCAACCTGTCTAGTCGCCATGCATTGTATCTGCTCCAAGGGCTGGAGCTGCTTTACGGCAAACTCGCACGATCGAGACTTGTCACCAGATTGTGAGGGGGTAGAAGCACACCAGGCACATCTCTTAGAGCTGCGCGATGTAGAACATGACAGGCACTGTCTAAATAGAGGGCGATGAGATTTCCCGCTATGTCGATCCATGGACCTGGCATACGTTCAGTGCAGCACAATGGGGGAGCTATTCAAAACGAGTCCTCACTCTGGCAAGCTTGTGACAGATACCTTGGGATAGTGGTAAGTGAAGCAGACACATGTGAAAATCGGCTTTCACATGTTGAGCAAATCACGCTAAGAACTGATTTTCATTAGCTGTCTTCGCTTTTCTCAGAACATTCTTGCCTTGTTCCAAACATTCGCGTCTCCGGGTGCAAAGTTCAACTTCGAACCAAGCATCAACTTCGAGTTCGAACCAACCAGTGGAGCGGTTTGCGCAAAAGGGTTTGAGGTCTGAGCTTGATTACGTTGAACACGATTCGCTCCACTCATCCACCATGGCGCGGAACAAGAAGCAGAAATTGCAGCCCCCAATCGCCAGTCTCAAGATCGAGGCTCCATCGGGTCACAAGGCGTCAGCACCAGCTCAACTTCTAGGCAGACTTCCGGTAGAACTACAACTGCGCATTCTTTCCCATTTGCCAGCCAAGCAGATCCACTCCTGTCGCCGCATCGATCACCACTTTCACGACATGATTGATCTGAAAGAAAACCGGGGCCCTCTGACAGGACCAAGCATCGCCGCGTCGATGGGACGATTCGACGTCTTCGTAAAGAGATACTGCGGGTTTCCGCTCGAATCCAAAGACGGCGGGCCAGGTAGTTTCCTAGACGCAGTTACCGACTACATTGCAGTCTGTGGCATCCGAGATGTAGACTGGGTCAAGAAAATCGACAGCTTCATGCAGTTTCTGGTCCAGAGATCAAACGACCACTCTCCAAACGGAAGTACTTTCTCCGGAAGGCCATCCTGGCAACTACGTTTCCATTTCAGCGAGATTTGCACTTATGCCGTCGGAAATTTCGAGCATCGCATCCAAAACGTCTTTGACCAGATCTACGGAGAGAAAGTGGAAATCATCATCGACAGGATGAGGACGTTCTTGAAGCAGCATGCGAAACAACCAATAGAATATGTTCCGAAACATCAAATAACGAGACCTCATCTACCTCTCGCACCAGGAATGCCCACGCTTGCACGCGCTCCTCAGATGCCGCATGGTGGCCGTGTCGTTGGCGTGCCTATCCTACCGAGAAGTTCTCCCTTCGCGTATTACGCAGCTTCGAGATCGGCTCAAGCCAGGATTCTTGACAACAGGGCTGATGATAGAGCGCTCAAGGGTGTGGAGAAAGCGGTGCTGCTGGAAGAGATGTTCATTGCTTGTATGTGAGCACAGCGCATACAAGACTGACATCGAGCACGGAGCCACGGTCACGGTCGATGGAGCTTCACACACTTTGGACTAGGGTCTCATTGGAGAAGCGATCTCGCACGCTCAGCGGTTGATGAATGATCTCGTAGCTGGATGCTGCCAACGATACAGCTTGATAAAATGTTACAGCTGAGAGAACGCAGCGGTTTCCTGCTCTGATGCGAGAATGCCTGGACTCTTGTTCCTACAACCTGCGGCTTTGCAGATAAGTTTTATAATCAAAACGCGTTGGAAAACAATCAATTTCCATTCAAGCTGATGTTAATCGTTTTGAAAGCTAGGTGCATGCTTCATTCAAGCGACACAGTCGCCGGAAGTACTGGGTCTTCTCTGGTTGAGAGCAGATACTGCGACTTCCCAGCAAGAGCACATTATAGAGGGCTGACTACCATGTCGCAACAGGCAAGGTATACTTCAGCAAAGTATTCTGGAGTATACCATACATTGACCACACATCACGCTATCCCGATTTGGGATCGCGTACAGGGACTGCCAAGCCTTCGCAACTTGCGGCCTGCAAATACGCAGGCATCAATCACCTCCTCTGTTCATCATCTGTGCTACAGGGTCCATCTTCTATGTCTCAGCAACCCGAAAAAGTTCGTCGCAGTCACCGCAAATCACGTAATGGCTGCGGGCCTTGTAAGGCACGACGCATCAAGGTGTGCAAAGAATACGATACCAAAACAAACAATGCCTATTGACTCGCCCACGAATTTCTAGTGTGATGAGAACCATCCGGACTGCTTGAACTGCGTACGCCGACATGTTGTGTGCCACTATAACGCGAAAACTGGGCCTTCAGCTCCAAGTCCTGCGGTGGCTTCAACGCCACGTGCCCGGAGAGAAAGGACGTATCCGAATTCGGAGCCAAATCAATTGAGAGACCATTCAACTCACAGCTCTGTGCGAACCACAGTATCTTCGCATACCACGCCGACTCAGCCTGTCAACACGCCATCACAGTCAATCAGCACGCCGCCCAGTGATTCGGGTGTTGCCTTGCCACGACAGAATCATGACCCTTTCGACGCAACCGACATGGCTCTTCTGCACCATTTCTTCATGGCCGTGGCTCCTACACTGGCAGATGACAGCGGCAGTCCTATCAAATGGCGTGCTCAGCTACCGAAGGCTGTTTTTGCATCAGACTGTTCGCTGCATGCATTACTCGCTGTATCAGCCCTCCATCTGGCACGGCAGCGACCCATGGAACGCGAGGAGTGTCTGATTAAGGCTACTGAGCATCATGCGCTGACATTGGCCCCGCTAATCAAGTCGCTGGAGCACCTGGATGAGCACAATGCTGAGACCACGTTCTTAGCTGCCGTGTTCCTCTGCTACCACAGCCTTGCCAAGGGGCCTCAACCAGGGCAATATCTGGGATTCGGTGACCAAGCAGACGGAGAATGGATATGGGTCATCAAGGGCGTCCGAACAGTGCTATCTATGGTGCGACCTTTTCCTCAGCCACAAGCAGACCCGGATCATAGTCCCGAAGCGATCGCAATTCATTCTCCAAGGGAATCTGCACCAACTCCTTCTTCGATGCCTCCTGTGCTTGACTACGAGGCCCCTTTGGCCGAGCTGTCACGAATAGTGGCTCTGCTGGAAGGCGAAGCTTTGGCCGGCACAAACTACATGCGGGCTGTCACAACGTTAAGGACTGCATTCGAAGCATGCTACTCCTCGCAACAAGGGACAAGGGAAGCCAGATTTGGGGTCAATGAACTGCAGACGCGCAGTGTCTTTCGGTGGCTCTTTTGTCTGGAGGCAGACTTTTGCCAGAGTCTTGAGCGCCAAAGTCCCATCGCTCTATTGATCTTTGCACATTTCGACGTGCTTGTACATCAGCTACGGCACATATGGTACATGGAGGGCTGGAGCCTGCACATTATGCAGGGGATATTGAAGCATCTTCCCCATCACCATCACTCCTGGATCCGATGGCCACGAGAGCAGGTGATGGGCTCGGATTGAGGAGATGCGATGATGAGCTGCTGCGGAGAGGAGGGATCCTGACTCGTTCGGCATATAACATCTCCGAGAATATTGCTCCGAGTTGATTGCGAAAGTGGCACTGACCGTGGGAGATCAGGAATTCTCATGCTCATCCAGCAAAATCCTTCACCTCCATCCTGCAGCACGGCCCAGTCTGATTCGATTACTTCCTTAGGCAAGCTTTCAGATTTGCCGGCCGTCTCAAGTCCACTGACCCCCAGACTTGGCTCGGTAATTGACTTCTGTTGTAAGAGTCTCCCGTCCTGTGCGCTTATTCTGCCTGAACAAAACAGTCGAGCATGCGGCAGCCCAGATGGCCAAGGCCCTGTAGTGAGCATCATCAGTGGATGCGCAAATGTCCGAATCCAACATGCACTTACTCCAGAACGATTGCAATCAGCACTGTTACTACAGCGATGGCCTTGGTGGCTCCTGTACCGCGTCCAGCGCCCATAGCGGTGACGACGATAACGGCGAGCCAGAAGACTGTCTCAAGGCAGTCCAGGATCATGTTGGCCTTGAGACTTCTCCAACGCTTGAATCGTGACGAGTGCTCGGACAGCATTTGGTAGGCGATGATGATGAGCGATTTGATTCCCTGCGCAACAGACGAGCGTTAGCCTCGAGTCTACTCTCCTGCTGTGGGACTTTCTTCGCCAGGCAGGACTTACTATGGGGATCGCCATGATGCTCGATCTCGAGATCGGGGGATTGGGAATGGAGACGCGACCGAAGGTCACGCC